GTCCCAGCCCAGCACCTTAATCGTATTTTCTACCTATGTGTTAAAGATGATGGTACTCTGATAAGTCCTATTGAAGGCAAAGGGCTACTTTGTGGTAGCCACTGTGCAACTGTAGAACAGTTCCCTTCACGCAGGCACCTTCCAGTTTTAGGGAAGAAAAAGATTGGTGAATGAATGTGGGTTATGATTGTGACAGTGGATTCTACAGCCTTACCGATAGGTGTGTCAGCCCAAAAGAACATTGTAACTTCGATGCTACTTCAGAAAGCTTCAGTCAGCCAGTACTGGTGTTTGCTTCAGCTATGGGAGCTGGAGGCTGAGTAAGAGCTCAGATTTTACAGAAATAAGCCCCACTCTGCACTGCCATCAGAGGGTCTCCCTCAGACCAAAGTAGCTGTGTCAGATGGCCACGTAGTGCAGAAATCCTGTCTGACTTCGCTTCCATGGCCTGGCTGGGGCAATAGTGCAAAAGTAATGGAAGTCTGATCCAAAGCCCAGTGCAGAGTCTCTGGTCCTCAGATTGGGCTGGCCTAAGTCACACAGCTGCAGTGATGCCTGTTCCTGTATAAGCAGGTGGTGGTAGTGGTTGAGCTGTCGCCGGGGCTTGGGACACAGGCAAAGGGATGGGAAGGGGTTCTGCTCTGCATTGCCTCAGGAGAATGTGCTACCCAAAATAGGGAAATGTGGGAGTAGTTAATCCTGACTGCTGAAACCAGTGCGTGTTTTGTCATTTATCTTGAGGGAGGCAGGATTTTAGCTCAGCAAAATGTGTTGTAGCTCTTAACCTGTTCCATAAACCTTTCTCACTTTATACGCTTATGGCAAAGTGTTACCTGGGATGCCTTGTTGTTTCCCTTTGACTTACTTTATATTCTGCTCTGCGCTCCCATTTCTTTTGAGAGCAAAATGCTGTGTGAGTGCCTCACGGTCTCTTTTACTGACCTTTTTTATGACTTCAGAGAAGTTTGTCTAGGCCCTAGTCTGCTTTCTGTCTTGAGTATTGACCTTAGAGTTACACCATCTCATTGTTGCTGCAGACTTCTCAGCTACCAAAGTTCACCCACAGGACTCAAAGTATTCCTAACTGAGAAACACCTTGCTTTTATGTCCTCCTCCTCTTCCCCTCCTCCCTCCACATGAGCATTTTAATTTCACAAGCAAACTCCATTTCACTGTGAATTTCGACAAGTGGTTCACCTGTTTCAGGGTAAAAATTGTACTTCAAATTTAAATGTCTTTTTCACTGTGACTGTCATAATATTTTCCATTTGAGGCTGAGATTCCACCGTGGGTTTTCTGTGCCATGTTGTCATCTATACAAATCTGAGCTTAAATGTGTGGAAATTCTGACATTTCAGTAAGAAATATAAAGTGGTTTTTAAATGTTCTTTAAGTTAGCTGTTTCATAGGTGTGGCCGCTGGGTTTTACCCAGTGCCCTGGTCTTTCCCAGTTTAACAACAGACTGAAGATTTCTCAAAGATTTGGGGCTTGTTTGTGTTGAGTGTGGTGTGTCATGTCTATGAGAATAGGTTATGGTAATTTTTTATCTGATTGTTTGTCCTGAAAAGGTACTGACTTTGCTTGGGTGCTGCTACCACTGGCAGCGGTGGGTGCGTACAATGCCCAATGCAGTGTCCGTGTACCGTGGTCTTCAGTGGGGATCTTGGAGAAGGCAGCTTGGTGTCAACCAAACTGAGCCAAACTTTGAGTGGTTTCACAGTGGAAATGGCTCCACAGTGGAAAGACCTGCTTTTAATGGGGGCTCGCAGGGGGGTTTGGTAGGTGTAGCACTGTTAGACTCTACCTTCAGGTCAATGGCCTATAGACAAAGACTGCTCGTGCCCAGTGGTGTGAGCCACATGTTTCAGGGGGAAATTTTGAATATTGATCTACCCTAAAGTATTTGACAAGGCTGAAATCTCTTTCGGCACTCATGTTTTCATGTCGGCTGTTCTGTGGAACAAAGTACGCGGTTGAGATCGTCACCAGAATTGAATTCTCCAATACACTGTTACAGCTTTCTGTCGGGTAATATGAAATACATAGAAGTGTACACCCACTGGCAACATTCATTTCCACAAATATATATATATATATGTATTGTCGTTGACTACTTTGAGAATACAAGGGGATATTTGCAGCTGTTTCAGTGGCTTGACATTTGTCACAATGACACGATTTCTAAAGTCTAGACTGTAATTGCTGCCTCGACTCACTGCACCTCTGACCAAACAGGCTGTGAGATTTGCTGGTGACACAAACTCCTGCTATCAGACCTGATTCCGCTGTGGTCTGACCTGATCAATTGCTCCACAACCCAAGTCACAGTCACTCTGTAATTTTATAGCGTAAATCAGATTTTACACGTGTGGGGCTGTGATGGGATTGCGTCTCTAGAGCCAGGGGGGACAGAATTTGGAAATGAACCCAAGGGAGTTGTACTCGATCCTACTCAACTCGTGCTCACAAACTTCATTCTTCGCAGTTGTGTATTAGGCAACATGACTAACATTTGCCACATGTTGTTTATTCTCTTATCTTCTCCCAGAGGAGGGAGCGTGTGTGCTGGGACTATTTCTTTCTTTGGGGAATTATGTTCCTCCAATCCCATATTGCCTGTAAAAATCATGCCTTTATCATTAGCTTTTATCGTCTCTATTAACCTTGAAATTTGATGGAATTTAGGTAGATGACCATCCTAGATATTACTGGAAAAGCTCTGCCACGTTGTATGTGAACAGTTACTGAAATGGTTGCAATGCAGGGAGCAACCATTTGAAGAGGTCTAATAGAACCTCTTTTTTGATTATTGAATCAATTATTTTTCTGTAATGTGAGCTTGTGGCAGAATATTTCTGTGTTAAATGATAATAATTTAATTAATTATGTCTGCCTTGAATAGCTGCAAGCAATCATCACTTTCCTTTGTGTCTTACGGTTTATCTAAATTGCTTGATAACCTGGTGTAGCCGAACTGGTTCAGCTCAGTTAACATAATCCCTTTCATTGCACTGGACTTTTTTTTTTATTAGACACTGTATTAGCTTCTAATGAGGGCATCAGACTGACAGACATTGATGCCATCTAGATGCATGATGAAACGTTGTAATGGTGATTAGAAAAGTCTTTCCATCCTAGGGAGCCTCCAGTGAGTTTTCCTAAAGGTGCCTCCAGAATGAGCTGGCTGGTTTATGTTTAAGAGCTGGGGCTTGATCCAGATCATTCACATCAAGGGCAGTTATTCTGGGAATGATAATGAGCCTCACGCTGGGCCTCCACTGAGATTTCCATTACCAGCATCAGTTATGGCAACAGTGTAAGCAAGTGAGCAAAGTGAAATAAAGGCCACAATGACTCTTTAGTCTCAGACACACTTTTTTGAGGATAAGCCTTATCTCCAAATAAAGAAATCCACAGTTTTGGTACTTATTAAAAGCAGCTTTTTTTTTTCCCCAGTGGAAAACTTGATTGTGTCACTGAATTGCACACACAAACTCCTTGGGAAAAACTGAAGCTTTCTACAAGCATGTTCATTTCATCAAATCCCTTTTTTTCTGAGATAAAACCATGTGAAACTGTTGGACCAGCTCTGGTTCCTCAGGCTCCGGCTTTTTCATCTTCCATCATAGGGTGATGTGGCATGTCCTGGTCCTGCAGAGGGCCCAGAGAATTGCCCTGACTCTGGGTTTTCCATGTTTGGGGCTCCAGCACCAGGAGCCCTCTGCCCAGCTTCTTCTTGACTGCAACTGTCCTCCCCACAGCTTCCCCTGCATTTTCCCTTCCCAGGGGTGACGGTGCAGTTTGGCTGCAATTAGTACAGCTCAGATTTCATTAAGTAAATGACTGTGAAAAGCTTTCAGTATTGGGACAAACCCAATAGAAACATGAATATTATCCAACAGAGGATGTTCTCAATTTCTTTGGCCAGAAACTAAAATTCTTACCGAAGATTTTCAAAACTCTGGGAGAAGTTTGACCTTCCCCATCCCTCAGCCAGCTCTGAAATTCACAGCCGATGGTGTTTTACTAGACTTGTAGCACTAACTTAATAGCTCTTTAGTTATTAAAGGATAAATGTTCGTGTTCTACAAGTTTAAATTATATTAAAAGCCTTTATTAGCACTGCTTGGCAAAATACCTTCTGGCTAGCTTTCTGGCCTTGGGTTAGGCCATTCTTGTGGTTTCTTAATGACATGCTATGAAAAGGATATAATTTATGAGAATTTGGTGCCAGGTTTTGCATGTATTAAGAAGCATTTGCCATTTGTGCATAATGCTGCTGAGCAAAACAAAAAAAATATTTAAAACTGGAGTTATGTCTTGCATTCATCTGGCTTGATTTTAATTGTACACGACTTTTGTATTTTTATGTATATAAGTTTAGATGTATATAGATTTATATTATATATACTCAATATTATCTGGTCTCTGAATTACTGGTGGTTGCTCAGTTGTGACATCTAACAGTGCAGTTACCAAAGTTACTTTCTGTTTATTTTCCAACCTTCCCTTAGTAGTTTTGGCAAAGTTTTCTCAGTGAAAGAACTCCTCTGGGCCATGTAATGGGTTTCCCCATGATTGGGAGAAGAATTAGGCCACTGGGGCAGCTCGTTTTTGTTCATGCCATGGGCAAAATATGTCAGAAGTTTCTTTCCCACGAGACTTGGTGACACGCAGGCAGTGCTGGGGTGTGATTCAACTGGCTGGTATTTTTTCCCCTCTCAGCATCTGTTTATTTGCTTTGCAACCAAGTCCGCCTCCTTTTCCTTCTGCTGATACAGCGCCTCGGTGTGACAAACGGAGGGGGCAAAGTACCCGGCGGGTGGGAGGAGGTGTGTGCGGTGGGAAAACAGGGCTGGGAAAAAGGCCTGGGACTCGAGTAACCTTTCTTAGGTGTCTTTCCACCACAAGAGAGTTGTTTGTGGCAAAGGTGAGAGTTTTTCTGATTGCAGAAGCGGGTTGCAGTGGATTTGACCCCATGCTCTCATTCTTTCCGCAGTGGGGAAGCCTCACAAGTGCAACTACTGTGGCCGGAGCTACAAGCAGCGCAGTTCGCTGGAGGAGCACAAGGAACGCTGCCACAACTATCTGCAGAATGTCAGTATGGAGGCTGCTGGGCAGGTCATGAGTCACCATGGTGGGTGCAAACCGTCTGCTGAGGGCACTTGGACTTGGAGCATCTCTTGTGGGTTTTTTTCCGTCTTGTTTTTCTTCCTTCCTTTAGTCTTTTTATCATTTCCAATTTAGAGATTGTTTATATTCAGATAGGCAGAAGGAGAAAAGATAGGCTAAAATCCTCACTCTGTCCAGTTTAACAGCACCATTTTTGCTGATTTTGTGTTGTCAGTATTTAGCTTTTTAGTATGTAAAAATATACAGAGACTAAAATGAAGCAAAGTCACCTGAGCAAAATTACCCTGAAAGTCATGTCATAGAAGCATAGAATAGTTTGGGATGAAAGAAACCTTAGAGATCATATAGCTACAAACCCCTGCCATGGCCAGGGACACCTTCCACTAGACCAGGCTGCTCCAGGCCCCGTCCAGCCTGGCCTTGAACACTTCCAGGGGTGGGGCAGCCACAGGTTCTCTGAGCAACCTGTTCCAGGGCCTCCCCACCCTCACAGGGAAGAATTTCTTCCCCATATCCCATCTAACCCTGCTTCTCTGTCAGTGTGAAGCCACTCCCTCTTGTCTTGTCTCTCCCTACCCTTGTCCCAAGTCCCTCTCCAGCTCTCTTGCAGCCCCTTTAGACACTGGAAGTCCTCCTGGGGCCTTCTCTTCTGCAGGCTGAGCAACCCCAGCCCTCTCAGCCTGTCTCTGTATCAGAGGTGCTCAAGCCCTCAGTGCATCTTCATGACTCAGTCTGACAGGTGCACATCCTTCTTATGTTGGGGGCTGAAGCCATGTGTAAAATGTGTGATTCCCTTCCCACTCCTTTCTGATAGTGAGTGATAATTATAAGGATGGTGAAGGTATTCAGAAGTCATTATTTCTACTTTCTGTAATATTGTCTTATCCCTCCAAAAAAGGGAGGCATAGATGTAAAAATCACTAGAGCAGAATGGAATTAGATGGAGTTGTTGGAAGTAATTATAACGAAAACTGTTTGTATGCATTTACATGTGCTAGTATTAATATGTTAACTAACACTGCATGTGTTAATATACATAAGGACTGAAGATTGCCAAAAAGATTGTTGAAAGCAAGAAATGTCAGACTCTGTGAATTTGTTTTCAGAAATTTCTGGAGCTATTAGTATGGATAATGAGCATAATGCCTCAGATTGCAGGGTTGAAGGCTTAATCTGTAGCACTAAATGCTAAATGGTAGCTGTCCAAAAATGGTTACAATTTAATTCAAAATTATTGTTTCATAAACTCTTCTAAAACTGATCGTCTCTTAACTTTTAAAAGTTGTCTTTAGATGTTTGGTACTTGAAGTGTTTAAAATTTCATACTATTCAGAAAATATTAAAATTGTACATTTTCCATTTGATTAAAAATTATCATATATCTAAGAATACCCAAACCAGTTAGATTGTGGGTGAATGAAAAGGCAAAAGAACACTTCCACTTTTTTTCCATTTTGCTTTTCATTGTTGAGTGGAGTCATATGGCCTCATTTGGAAAGTAATTCTGTAGAAGTTCTGAAAGATCATTTCTAAAAACCTGAAAATCCAAGCTGAAATAAAATCTATTCAGCATTGCTAATACAGGCTATATTTTGGCGACAAAAATCTCCAAAATATTGTAAATAGTACTTTTCCATGAACAATTTATTCCTATAATGGTATTTTAAATATATTTAGTAGTCATTGCCAAAATGTTCATATGACTCTATTAAGTAATTGCTCTCTTCACAGACACCCTGGAGACTAAAATCAACATTTAAAATGTCATGGGTGACTTTAAAGATGTTGAAGTCAGTGATTATCTGCCTGAGGTGGCTTTATGCTGGCCAGTGGACAGGCTGATTTCAGGGCTTTACTATTTGAAGGTACCTGTTGTGGGCTTGGTCTGTTGGAGCACTTAGAAGGAATTGAACCACTGAGTTCACTCCCAACAAAATACACACTCTTCATGCTACAAAGGTGTGCCTGTCTAGTTAACCAGGGAGGTTATGACTTCAGGCAGCCTTTCCTTAGGGAATAACAGTAGGCTGATATAGCTATGACAGCCAGGAGGTTTAAGACCATGTTGTGGAGGAGCTTCCCAAATTCCACTCAACGTCTGGGTTTATTATTCAGTTATTTGTTAAAATTAGGTTTACTCTTGTTGATAGATTTCTGAGAAAATCCAGAGCTTTTTCTGAGCTGCCTAATGCCATGACAAGAGGGGCAAGTCTTTAACCTTGTCTCCCCAAAGAAGCTGCAGTGGTTGACCTTGCATTGATTTTTCTACCAACTGAAGTTAAACCAGTGCAAACCCCATGCAGGACAGTTCTTTTCTTTACAGCCTGACTGACTTTGCTTGGGCTTAAAATAGAAATGTTCACACAACCACTTCACTTTTCTCAACAAAATTAGCTTAAAACAGCACTTTGAATTCAACTAGTGCCTCTTTCTCCTCTGGGCAAATATGTCTGTGCCTCCCCTGGTGAATGTTTAAGGGGATGTTTGATCTGCTGTCTTCATTTCGCTGTTCAGCGAGGGCACAGTGAGGACAGGCAGCGACAGGGAGCTCCACATTCAGCTGGGACCAGTAATAAATCTCACCTCTCATCCCAGCATTGCTCCCACCCATGAAGCTCAGCATGAGGGTCATGAGCACCAACCTGTAGAGCTCTGCAGCGAAGTCCTTTCCCCTGGGACTATAAAGACACCAGAGAAGAGTACAAAAATGATTACTCAGCTTAAAACTGGGTCTTAGAATAACCCTGAAAAAATGTATTAATTTCCTTCTCTCCCATGTCACACATTGAAATTATATTCTCGAGGATGACTGAGAGTATGCTTTGGAGATTTTGATCACTGGTTTATTTTGCATCCCACTGGGGCTGAGTTTTCCTGACTCTCTTTCCAAATACTTGGTTTGGATTTTTTTCAAGCATTGTGCTCAAGATGATCAGTTTGGAGGCATGTTACAGACATGGGTGCTTTCACCATGGCCTGATCAGTCCTTTAATTTCAATTATCTGTCTTGCAGATGGCTAAATCACCTGACTAAAGGCACAAGGGGAAGCGAGAGGCGGGGCAGAAGGGCTACTTTTGTTGTGTGGGTAGGAATGTGCAAGTCTCTGCGTCTCACTCCATCCTCTTGTGGGGTGCCAGTTGCTTGCTGAGCTGCCCCTCCTTGTGGTCCTGTTCCCTGCTCAGCAGGACAGATGCTGCAAGAGAGCTCCCATGACTTGGTTGTTGGCAATTTTCAGCCGAGCAGTGCTGGCCCTGGAGGGAGAAATTAGTCTGCGGTCTCCTGGCTAGCGGCGTATTTGGGGTGACAAAAGGGACAGTCTCTGAATGCCAAGAACATGACCTTTACAGGAATGAAGAGGGAGAAATGTTGAAGGCTAGTGATGGTTTACACCCAGTTATGCGTTCTTCTCCACCTCCACAGAGCAAAAAGTCCAGGGAAATTCTTCCAGTGGGATGGAGAAGGATGCTCTTTTCAGGAGAAAGAGAAAGAAACCCAGCCCTGGGCTGTGCGAGGCTCCAAGGCCAGCTCCACATAAAACACACAATGGCCTTGTGTCTTTCCCTCTTACATGCTTGCTTAAAACATCGTTAAAATGCTGGTCCCACAGGAGACTTCACACCAGGGTCCATGGGAATATTTCCTGTCATTTCTCTGCACACACACACTTCTTTTAAATAGCAATATTGTGAGCTTCAGAAAGGAAATTGAGGTTGATGGAGTAATACTAATTTATACCAGCTGAGACTTAGCCCAGTGTCTGGCGTTTGCACACAAAAGTATTTATCAGCAAAACACACACTGGGTAATTTTTTTACTTCCCCCCCCCCATTCTTTCCTCACTGGAATGACATAAACTTTTTTAATAGTTCATGTGTTTTTTTACAAATAAAGAAGGAAAAACTCAAAGATAGTCACTTCGAGCAGTGTGATTGAAAGACCAGTATCATCAACAAAAGAAAGACTTTGTTCTGAAGACCGTAGAGGTTTGTGAATTGAGAGTTTGGGCTTAGAAACATTTCATGTTCACTGCTATTGAGAATATTTACAGTGTTAGGGATGGTGAATGTTTTCATGGGCAATCCAGGAGCACACCCTGATAGCTGATTAAGAGCATCCCTGAACAAAAACATACTCAAGTGTGGGCTTTTCATGGAATACAAGCTTGATTTGTAGATTAAAAAAAGTCTTCCTGAGCTGAGACTGTAAGTTCTCAGTGTAAAATGAGTTGCTCTAAGCTAGTTATGACCTGCCAGCTGTTCTTTGGTTGCTCCCACTATGACGTACGATGAGCTATAACAGAAAAGGAATTACATTTACTGCTGAGTAAATGTGTACACATGAGCTTCTACCAAAGAGCAGCTGATTGGTGAGAACTGGTGGTTGTGTTTGATTGGTTTGGTTTTCCCCTTTTTAATTCTGTTTTTTGCTTTAAGAAAAAAAAAGTGATGCAAGCTGGGCTCTTTGTCCTTTATTTGTACACCTTCTAAATTTGAAGTGAAAATTAATGTATCTAGAATTGACAATGTGCTCTTTAGCCTAAAGCTTGGGGTTTCTAAAATGTGACATCTCACCTGTTTGGTCCAATTTTGCCTGTCATTTAAATGGTTTCAGAAACTAGACCATTTCCCTCTCTCCCTTCTCCCAGGAAATCTGCATAACAAAACACATTCTGCTAACTTATTCCCATCGTAACACAAATATTGGTGTGATTCATTGATTCTGTTGCAAAAGAGCCATGCCTTGGATTAGAGACTTGAGTTCTGAGGTGGGAAAAAGTGCCTGCAGCATGAAAGGTGGAAAAGAAAATGCTTTTACTCATGATGATTTTACTTTTTAAAGGAGTCCGAGCAGGATTTTTGCCTGACTTAGAGAAGAGCAGATGTCTTTTTTAGCACTATTCATTTTTCATGGAAGAAAGGTTTCAAATTCTGTGTAGGAAATTTTACACACATATGCCCAGCAGTAGAATTATTTAATTATTACTTAATTGTTATGAGACCATACAAATGTCATTACATTTGGGGCTTATTCAGGTGGCAGTGAAACTAGTCAGGAGGTTTTGAGTGGTTTTGTGGATAAGTGCATTCCTGCAAGGACAGCATGCTTTGAGCTCGTGTTCCTAGGAGGGATTTAGAGCACCTCCCTACCACACCACCAGCCCCCTGTGTCCTGTCCCTTTCCAAGGGCTGGAAATCTTGGAAGTGTCACTCAGGTGAACCTGGCCTATGGCAGTGAGTGAACATCCAGGGTTTCACACGGAGCGTGCGTGTGTGTGCATGCATACACTGAGTCTGGGTAAGCCAAAGGACAGTCAGATCCAGTTCCCAGTGAAAATCAGCACACATAATCTTCCCTTTCTTCCCAAATCTCCTTGGTAAATACTTGAGTAGTGCAGATAGCTCCTGACCAAGCACAGTATTTAATTAACCTTAAAACTTTACCCTTAGCTATTAAAGTATTCCAAACCTCCCAGTCTGCATTGGGCATTAATTAGGTCACTTGAACACCACATCCCATTTTGTTGCAACATTAGATTCATTTCATATTTATGGGGTTTTTCCTCCCTTTCAGTGATGCCAGCAGGACTGCCTTGTAAATGAGAAACCATTGTGTTTCTCAGGGGGAGCATCCTGTACAAGTAAAAAAGCAGCAGAGTAAATCATTTTATAGCATATGGTAGATTCCAAGCCTCAAAGTACTCAGCTTTCCATAGCAGCAGAGGCACAAATGGAATTAAATGAATAAATTGCCATGTTTTCTTATTACAAATGTCTGAATTGAGAAGTTCACCTGAGCAGATATTATGTTTTGTAATTGCCTGGTATTTGCTCTTCCTTACTAGAAAGAAGGCAGAGACAAGGCTTTTAACACCCCATTTTTCATATATTATGTGCTAGCAAACAACTGAGTGTTTAAGAACAGGGGAGTGATTGTTCCATGTCAGGACCCTGGAGGTAGTACGGTTACATGGGAGGGAAGTAGGCTGGTGGTGTTCATTTATGGCACTGTCTCTGGGAGAAGGTGTCTGTCATACAAAAGGCTGCTATGGTGAGAGACAGGAGGAGGGCTGGCAGAACACATGGGTGTGAGTCCTTCTCTGCTGCCTCTGCAATACCGATGATTTCATTGGAAGGTTGATCTAATACAGGGAGTGCAATGGGGTGCTCTCAGTTTACAAGTTGTAGGAATTCTGTCACATATCATCGCAGTTTCTATTTCTCTGCCATACATTCTTCACCTCAAATAATTTTGTTGCATCTCAGCCAAGCCATTAGCACATGGAATAGTGGCTGATACTTGTCAAGTTTGAATTGCCACTTTCTGAAGATGAATGCAGGACAATTAGGCCAGGTATCCCATTCACAGCAGCAGAGCAGCAGAGCTATACATGGAATCACACTTGATATATATGGCAAATGTCTTGGCACTCAGTGCCATGGTCTAGTAACTGCGGTGGTAGTGAATCAAGGGTTGGACTTGATGATCTTGGAGGTCCCTTCCAACCCAGCTGATTCTATGATTCTATGACTCTCTGGGCCTGACCCTCAGTCTGGTACCACTGACCCTTCTTGGTGTTTATAAGAGGATGTTCAACAAAAACAGAGTACTTTGTTGGCACTTGGGGAATAGCTCTGACTACAGTGACATAAAACCCTATATGAGTCACTACCCTGGTCAGAAGCCTGTGCAATTCTTATACTTTTGCTCCAACAACTTATTCCCTAACCCAACAAGTGAGGAAGAGGAAAATGAGTAAAGACAGAAGGGGTCATTGATTTCTTGTTGTTGTCTCAAAGACAATGTGTGAGCATTCCCTTGATGTAGTTAGCACAGAAATGATCCCTGCAGATTCCAAAAAAGTGGTAAGACAGATGCAGAAAACCTCCATTCACAGGTTGTTAGATCTGTGTTTGAGGGGATAAAATATTAATCAAAAATTGATAGTTTCTACATCTGATTCTGAAGGGACTTTCCATGTGATGTTAATCCTGTAATTCCAGTATAGTGTGTGTTGATTTTACATTCTCATGTGTAGAAAAAGGAAACATGCTTTAGCAAACTGATCCTTCATTTGAGAAGACTTGTCTTAGGGAACACACATACAGGCCCAGGAAACACAACTTGTCAATGCCTTGTGTGATCTTTAATCATTGAGATTAGTGCAAAAAATAATAATAAGAGTAAGTATTCTGTATGATAAGTGTGAAGTTAATGGAATACACAAAGAATGATAACTAACCATTTACCTTGGCGACAGGTGACCATATGGAAGGGGGAATAACACAAAATGTCATCTACAGAGTGAGTTTTCAAAAGTGTCCCCTCCTTGCTGGGGATCTTGAGTGTCCATAACAAAACAAGTCTTTATTAATAGAGTTGGGCTTCTGCTAAATAAGATGATCCCAAGGAGAGGTGTTTTGTAAATGTGGTTCTGCTTACAGGTGATTGCTGTCTTGATGCCCAGTGTGTTCTTGCACCTTGCTTTATGTTGTGTTGCACTTGTTGCGCAGTCAGCAGAGCTCAAATGATTTGTGTTGTTTGTGAAGTGTGGACCAGACCTGTCTGATGTGATTTTTTGGTTTTATGTAGTACCTCCTATGGAAGATTGTAAGGAACAAGAGCCTGTGATGGACAACAATATTTCTGTGGTGCCTTTTGAGAGACCTGCTGTTATAGAGAAGCTGACAAGCAACATGGGAAAGCGTAAAAGCTCCACCCCACAGAAGTTTGTGGGTAAGCTGGAAATATGCCTTTTATGATTTTTAGTGTGTAGGTGTAGGCAACTTGTTATTTGTAATAGGCAAAAGAACAAGGGGAAAAGTAGTAGCGCTCTTGGAACTTGGTTGTGAGACAGCAATGGAGAGGGTTAAATCACAGCAAGAAATCCTGAAAATCATTGAATTAATTTTACCAACCCAGAAAATTCAAAAATTAGGCCCCTGATATCATGCAAATGCTGTAGAACACCTTGAGCTTTTATCTTAAGGCTGATTTGGTTTTTTTAATGACTTTTCTCTGGCCCTTTTTGAGATTTAAACTTGTCATCTTCCCTCTCCTTGCTCCAACAAAAAAACCCAGCAAGCTAAGACTGTCATATAATTATCTGTCTCTATATGTGTTGAAAAAACAAACAACAAGTATCTCAAGATGTATTAAATTCCTAAGAGTTGGCAACAACTGGTCTGATAATACTGGCATGAGGAAGTAAATCGCATCCCTTGTGTTGGAAGAAGTGCTTACTCCAAGTGCAGCACTCTGCACACAATAAACTTACTAATGCATGAATATGAAACAGCACTGGATGGCTTTTGGTTATCATATTTAGAATCATAGGCCCAGAATTCATATTTTGCTTTGTATCTTGACATATTAAAATTGCTCAGCTTGTAACAGGAGACAGTGTGGAGAATTTTACTTGGTTTGAGCTGTAACTTAAAGCTTCTTTTTACTGCTACTGAAGCAGTGCTAAACTTCTTAGGAGGGAAGCTGGAACAGAGAATTATTTGGGGTAAGTGTATGCTGCCAGACTCTAAAGTCATGTAATAGGCGTTTTCCATGCTCACTCCCTGGAAGGACAGTCACACAGAACATCAGGGTGTCACATCCTCATTCTGAAGGCACTCACAGAGAAGATCAGAGAATGTAAGCAATTAACACAGCCATTTAGAGAAGTTGTTGCCCCTCAGCTAAATGCAGATTCAGATGGATTTGTTAAATCACCACTGACGGTGGTTGTTACTAACCTACACGGTTTGGAATAGTAGGGGGCCAACAGCATGCAGCAGCTCACCTACGGGGCTGACACACTGACCTGGCTGCTCTCGGTCAGCTGGCCATTCCCAAATATCAGTGCTGAGCTAAGGTTAGGTCAGGAATTATCCAACCCACATGAGGAATGCTGGGAGACATCAGTATTTCCTGTGTTGTGAGTTCTTCTGAGAGAAAAGCTTAATTCTTGGACTGTTGTCTTTAAAAGGGGTCTGAAATGAAGTGCTGTATAGCTGATAAGAGCTGCAGGATTTATACTCTCATTTAATTTACTGCTTTGACAACAGCTGGGGTTGAAGAGGGTGGAAATGGGAGCACTACTCTACTGACAAGCCACATACCTTTATGAGCTGGTAAACGTGGCCCCACCACAGCAGGTTTCCCTGGTGGTGTCTCAGCAAGCTCCATGGGTTCCTCTGGGCTGGGATCACCAGAGGCATGAGTTAAACACGCTGACACTTCAGCTGGTGTTTCTGGACCTCGGAGACCTTACAGCCTCAAAAGGAAGAAGGGCAGTTCACACCTCTCACTCTTTTTTCCCCCCAGCTTGTCCGTGGAACAGAGCTGTGTGCAGTGCCTCACAGAGATTATCTGTGCAGGGCTAGAGACTGGATCCGGGAGGGCTGGAGATCTTATTGCCCTCCCTAAAATCCTGGCATGCCCAGGCCTGCTCCTATAAGCAGTGCAGCTTCCTCATGACCAGGATACCTCACAACTGAGGCAAGCCAGTGTTTGGATGGTATAAATTGAATCAGTTTTTGGAAGCTGTAGATGGTAGGGTTTTTTTCAGACCAGAAAAGTTATTTTACTTGTCCACTCATGCACCATTGACCATCTGTTGTTGTTGTCTTCAGAGGTAAATTTACTGATGGGAAATCCTTGCCTGAGACATGCACATTATTATTCTCTTCAGCAGGTTATACTATCTTGTTAGATAAACATGTTTTGTCTATAGGTGTAACAGATAATTTTGGTATTCCATTTTTCTGGGACTAGGAATTCAAGGTTTCAGTTTTTTATCCAGATTTAGCTGTAGGAGAAAAAGTGTCCTCTGTCATACTTACTATATCATATTTTTCTGCCTTTTCTGATCTTTAATGGCATCACAGTGTTTGAGTTGAATAACAGCAGTCTTCACTTTCCTGCCTTTTTTTTTTTTCCCCACCATGACCTCACTTTTCTTCCTTTTTTCTCCCCAATGAAATATTGTTCAACTCCATCAGGAAGAACTTGTTAATGGTTCTCTTGCTTGCAGGAAATTTTCCTGTGCATGCTGCAAGTATGGCACTTGTCCAAAACAACTTAATGGTGTTTATGAGAAGGTCATGTAAGCATAAGCTAAAATCTTTGCATGCTACATCTATCAATGCTTTACTGCTCTTTCTGATCAGCAATCTCCAAGGGACCGTGGTTATGGACCACAGTCTCTACTCTGGCTGAATTTTGAGGAGGAAAGGAAACAGCGTACAGCAAATAGAATTAATTTCTGTGTGAGAGATGTGGTTATGTATCTGCTATTGAGGTACTAGTCTTACCAAATCTGTTGAAACAGTGGAGGCAGAAAGTACAACTTATGAAGTGCAGGAGTCTGAGTACTTCTTTTTGCCTCTCGTTCAATGAGGGAGAGGCAGACACCAGTTAAATTAAAAGCAGACATCTTTAGGCTGATTGTGTGGAGCAGATTCATGTATTTTCAGTTTGAATGTGATGCTTACAGACACAGAGTGTCACTGAGGTTAAGAACTGGCAGGATGCAAAATGAGACATTTATGTGGCTTACGATAAGACCATGGTTGTTAGAGTAAAAATTAAAAATACACAGGCATCTCAGAACAGATGAAGATCAACCAACACCAGAATTACAGTCAGCTTCCAGTTAATGGGAGTCGGAGAAATTTAGCCAGGGGTTAATTCTGTAATGGCTTTCTCCAAGATTCCTTGCAGCTTTCTCCCAAGTGTCCAGTGCTGCAGCGGCTTTAGCTACTTGATGAGATGGACTGCAGGTATCACAGGACAGCTATGTCTGTGTGCTTTGATCTGGCTTCAAATACCTGCTTTGTGGGTTATTTGAATGTCATATGAGAGACTGTCATGAGAGACAGTTTCTTCTTCTGCTTCACTAATGTAGGGCAAGAATAAATAGAATTTGAACATAGTTTTACATGAAAATTCAGAATAATTAGTCCGATTAGTTACTTTTAAGTATAGATTTGGCTAAAGAGGAATTTAATTTGGAAACCACACTGTAGTGGTTTGTTGGACTGTTTGTCCAGCTTCTGAGCTCATATTTTTTGGTTCCATCCAATGTTATCATTTATTTTACTTTTTTATGTCATGCTCCATTTCTAAGGCTCTGACATCTTTGGAACTGGATCATAATTAAAGGAATAAATAATTCAGGTCACTGGCAATTTACAGCTTTCTCTGCTGTCTGTGCTGGAGTAACTAAACATGGATGATAAAAGGAATCAAAATAAGGTTTGCATCGTTTATCCAAGTAGTCCATAAAGGATAGGTAATATTTCTTGATCTCTACAGCCTACAAAGAACTGACAGTGTCTTTCTTGGCTGAATCAGACCCTCACCAGATCCATTTCTTTATTCAAGCACGGGAATGGCTACAGCAGGTGACAGGCACCATTTCTATTTTCTATGCTTTCTTCCACTGGGACAAAGACACCAAATGCCTCCTGGAGCTGCCCTCCAGTCCCACTTTGGCCCCACTTGGGAAGGAGCTGCACTGTTTCCTGGGAGGCTGGAGCCATGTCCCGTTTCAGAGCTGCCCATCCCATCTGCAGCAGGACAGCCATCACAGACTGCCAGAGCACACCAGAAACATGAAAAGAGGTGTGATGGCAAGAATCATCCACAGGTCACGTTAGATTACCTAGTCCATCGTTGTAGCAGGGAAATGTTGTGAGGTACACAATTGGAACGGTTGGTCCACTTGGAAGCATGTGAACAGTACTGCTGAAGAGAGTAAGAATATTAATGTGCTTCACTTTAGACTTATATTTAATTACCTTGCTAATCAGGGCTAAGTTCCCAAGCAGAAGTGATGCATCATCTCTAAGGATTACATGGCTGTTCTGTATGCATCACTTTGGAATAAGTCACACTGAGTGGACTGAATTATTACAGTCAAAAATGAAATGTGGAGTGATAGCTATGTTGAAATGTACTAATGCAGTTTGGAAGAGATTTTGGATTACAGTTCTGTTTCTTATGGTGTTTTATACACATTGCGTTCCAAGCAATTTTGGCAAAAGGTGATAGAATATTCTTGAGTAATTTAATTCTTGGATAGCCAGACCAGTTGTAAGTAGTGACTCCTTGAATTTATTAACTTACACTATTGAAAAAAAGTCTGGTTTTATGTACCGAGGCAAGGAAGTAACAAAGACAATAGAAACCAACCAAAATTTATCAGACTTCATAAAATCAGCTTTTAAAGTTAACTGTGAACAACCAGCTAACATTTGTATGTGTGAACACCCATGAGCACGTACATCTTGTATCAAATACATATAACCTTTTCTATTTAAAAAGAAGTTATTATGTGAAACTTTCCTTGTGCAACCACTCCAAAGCCATCACTGGAAAAGCAGTCGTGCTGAGCCCTGATGTAAGTAGTGGAGAGCTTCTTCCAAGGAGAGCTATGACATGTAACATGCTGCCCTGTGACTGCCATAATTTACCAGCATGTGGTTCTAGTTTCACACATCTGTAATGCCATTGATGTAAAAAGGTTACAAGGATGTGAATTTGGATTCACACAGTGAAGAATCAGCCAGCTTCAGCATCATTATGTATTTATGTAGCCTGTGTCAATGAAGGGTCCTTTTACCTTTTACCAAAAGCTATACATGTGGTTTCTCTATTTGTTTTCTTGCCTAAAGAGACACTGGGAAGGAAAATCTGTGTTTGTGTGTGTGTGTTTTTTTACTCAGTCCAGAAAGGATAGAATCTTTTATTTGGAGGGGGGGAACTGCAAAGATGAGCCTCCAGTGCTCCTGTAACTTGCTCCGTTCTTGGCTACGTGCAGTCATTTTACATTTTTTTCCGCTGGCTAAAGGATTTACATATTGTGGCTCTAAAGGCACCACCATAACAGCCCCCTGTACCTGTTGTTTTGGTTTCTCACTCGGCAGCCCTGTTGTAAGGTAGGTATGATGCACCTTGGGCTGTAGGAGGTGTGTGGTACTGCTCCCTTGAATTTTGGGGAGAGTATGTCTAATGGCATCAACTGTCAGACCTTATTGACCTCAGTATTTCAATCCCATTATCTACCAGTTAACTTGTATTTCCCAGCTTAAAGCACGGGCACAGTCAGGCACAGTGAAAGGTTTGGAATTGCTCTGGAAGTCACTGCAGCTGCATGCATCACCTGGAATAAAAAAAAAAAAAAGCTGTTGGTAAGGTTGCTGTTTTACCCATCCCAGGACAGGAGCTTTGTAGGAGGTTAGTAAACAAGTAGAAGGTTAAGTTTAGACTGGAATAATTTCACCCCAGGTCAGGGGTTTTCCGTCCCTCTCTACCCCTTTTAAGTGACACATTGGAGGGATTACATTGATTTTGCTCATGCATTTGTCTTATCTCGTAGGTGAAAAGCTCATGAGATTTGGCTATCCAGACATCCCCTTTGATATGAACCTAACCTATGAGAAGGAGGCTGAGCTGATGCAGTCTCACATGATGGACCAAGCCATCAACAATGCAATCACCTACCTTGGAGCTGAGGCACTTCACCCCCTGATGCAGCACACACCAAGCACAATTGCAGAGGTGGCGCCGGTCATCAGCTCAGCTTACGCTCAGGTCTATCATCCGAACAGGATAGAAAGGCCCATCAGCAGGGAAACAGCCGACAGTCACGACAACAACATGGATGGCCCGATCTCCCTCATCAGACCAAAGAGTCGAACCCAGGATAGAGAGGGCTCCCCCAGCAATAGCTGCCTGGATTCTACTGACTCAGAGAGCAGCCACGATGACCGCCAGTCCTACCAAGGAAACTCTGCCTTAAATCCCAAGAGAAAGCCAAGCCCGGCTTATATGAAGGAGGACACCAAGGCTTTGGATGTCACAAAAGCTTCTAAGGGCTCTTTAAAGGATATCTACAAGGTGATCAACGGAGAAGGGGAGCAGATTAGGGCTTTCAAGTGCGAGCACTGTCGGGTCCTTTTCCTGGACCATGTCATGTACACCATCCACATGGGCTGCCACGGCTACCGGGACCCTCTAGAGTGCAACATCTGTGGCTACCGGAGCCAGGACCGCTATGAGTTCTCGTCGCACATAGTCCGAGGGGAGCACACATTCCGCTAGGCCTTCTCATCCAAAGGGGACTCGTATGAAGTAGAAGAACTGCACATGAAGAAATACTGCACTTACAATCCCACTTTTCCTCGGACATTGAAACGCCTATTTTGTTGTTGTTGCTGTTGTTGTTGTTGCTGTTGTTTAATTATTATTATTAACCTTATTTTTTGTGGACCCAACCTCATTTGCTCTGCCCAGCTTAAGAATAGAAAGAAGGAAGGGAAGGGATAAAAGAGGGGTTTGTTGTTGCCGTCACTTTCTGGGGAGTGACCTGTGTCGCTTTCTGTGGGAATTGGAAGGCAGTCCGTGTCTGTCTCAGTCGGTTGTACACCATGTCCTATTTTGAGGTATCACTCAACCCTTCTAGGTGCTTTCAAGTCTCAACAAGATGCCACTCATTTACAATTTCAGAGGAATAGGTAGAAACATTTCAGAGGAGAGTGTTTTTCTAACGTGTAGTTACTGTGCGGGGTCTTGGTGGCTGGAGAAGAGGGGGGGAACTTTATTCTGCGGAATGAACAATTATTTTTAAAGCAAAACTGTTAGGGAGTTAGGAGCATGAATCAAAGTTACTTTCAAGGGAGAGCTGTTTTCCTGGGTTCAGTGTGTATTGCCCCTCTAGAATGTAAATAAATTATAAAAAAAAAAAAAAGGAAATGTATGTCTTAACACTGTACCACATTACAGCAGTTTAGTTTCATAAGTCTGAGGGCCTTCTGTGGTGAGTCTGAGGCTTTGTATTTTTATTTTCCTTAACTTATGAAGCACCTTTTTTAGGATTGTTTGTATTCTGTTACTCCATGCCTATGTGTTGTCTCACTGGCTTCTAAGAAACCTAACTTTTAAGAGAGAGCATTTAGGAATAACATTTAAACTTTAGGACAGTAAGTGGCCTAGGAGTGGATGAGAGTCTGTAGTTTACTCAAGAGGTTCTGCTGCTCTTCTGAAGTAATTTTGGTTTAAAATTATGGATTTTAAAATGACAAAAGTACTAGTAAAAACATGTTCTTTAAATATAGGTATATATAGATATATAATTATGTAAATACTTTCTCATTCTATTATCACAGTGTTAACCTCTTGGAAACAGCCTAAACTAAGACTTGCAGCTGGGAAAGTGATGGGAGCCAGATCCTTGGCCAGCATTAATCCTCTTAGCTCCATTGAATTCAATGGAACTGCCCCAACTCCTTCAGCTACATCAGGATCCGAGCCTTGACCGGTTTTTCTCCTTTTGACATCTTATTTGCTAATTTGCTGAACCAGTGATTTCCTTTTGTTTCTAAGTCATCAGTTCTGCTTTAATTTAGGGGTGCAAGTGTCAGCAGGTTTTGCTGGATAGCCTTTGCTTCTGGAGAGCACAGAAGCCTTTCACATCAACAGGATGCATATGACCTTCCCTACTTCTTCAGAAAGTGATAAGTGGAGGTGCAGGTGCCGTGCATTGATTTGGATTTGCAGATTTCATCTTTATTCCTAATATATTAATTTCACTGTGGGGAAAACAAATGGAGAAACACACTCCAGAGCAAGTCCTTGACCTACAGACTGGAGAAGGAAAAGAAACTCCACCGATCTGTTTTGTTTCCTTTCTTTCTCTCCCCGTAAATAACAAAGCCAGCAACCACCCAGCAAGTTGCATCAGTAAAAGCTGGGCTTAAACCTACAGGACAGATTGCCATTGAAACCCAACTGTTTGTACCAATCACAATTGAAATGTTGTTGTTTGGCAACAAGAGCACAGCTTGAGAATGGAAAGATCTGCATGGGTTTAACCCCCTCTGCGCACACGGTCTCCATGCGCTTGGGGAGACCTTTTCCAAAGTATAAAGTTACTAAAGTATAAAAGAGAGAGCAAGATCAGGCCATAATGAATTTCCATCTGCTCCCTTCAATCTGTGCACTCCATGCATATGCCAGTTTGCTGTTCGTTTTGAGGGTACCAGGTTTTTTTCTTCTTTTCTTCCTAGACCTGGAGCATTTGAAAGTAGGAGCTGAGTGGTATTGATTGAAATCTTTTTATGGTGACATTCTTGGCAGCTAGAACCTGTGTTTAGAAAGGATACAGTAGATCATGGCCAGATTACCTGATGACTGCTTCCCAGCACTGCAATGCTATTAAGTATTAGCTGGTAAAGTCTTGCAGTAGCCTATTAATTATAATAGAATATGGAGAGAAATGTCATCTTGTGTAATGTGAGAGCTATCAAGGCTGGGAATATACAGGCTTTGGAGAGACAGATTTAAAGATCTATTCCCAACATTGTTCTTAGTGTTGTTGGGTTCCTCCCCCTCCTTCTTTCTTCATCCTAATGTAGAGGAAACTCAGGCAAATGAGCCACTGCTGTCCTCCAGAGCATTCTCGTTGTCTTGTGCCTCGTGTAGTGAAAGGAGTTTGTGCAGGAGAAAAGCAGAGAAATGCTGGAGGGCATCGCTTTTATTCTGTATGGCTGATTCTCTGCAGCTAGGAAGGTTGGCTTAGGAGGTGGCTGACCGTGTTTTGCATCAGGATTTGCCTGGAAATTCCAAAAAGAAAGAAAAATGTTGTTGTGATTTGCTGAGGCAGGAAAGGTCTTTTAAGAACAAGGCAAAAAGAGGAAGGTGCTGGGCCCTCGAGGTTGCTGGGTTTGTCTGGGCCTCCAGAAAGACACGTACCCAAGCCAGAGAAAAGGGTTGCCAGCAATTCCTTTCATTCTCTGGGGGCAACACTCCATTTTCCCCTCTGTGGTCAGTGAGAGAACATGGGCTATGGTTTCTTGGAATAGTTAGCGCTAGGGAAAAAGTGTTAAAAATTTCTGCCTTTGTTTGGTAAAGCACTGGAATACAGGAAAGGCAGAGAATCTCTTGTGTATCCACAAAGAAGTTGGCTGTAATTGTATCTGCAGTTCGTCAGTGTGCACTTTGGTTCATTGATGACTCATTGATACCTCCTGTAGGGTATATTCTGTCGATGTTTAAGGGATCAGAGGGGGAGGCTCGCTGGTTCAGCTAAGCCCAGCTTCTTGTTCTAAGGGTAGCAAGTGAGACCTGTATGTCCTGGTGTCATGGGCATAATGAACTGGGGAGGCACTGGGGAGTTATCTTCCAAAACCTACGTTTTTTGGAGAATTTTGCGTTCATTTTTATTATCAGTGTCCTTTTCTGAATATTCATTAAAGATTTTCATCCTAGAGCTAGGGAAAGGAGAAAGATTGAATTCTAGTTCAAATTTTGAACAGAATTTTGGATTAACATGTACTTAAGAATTTAATTCCTGCTGAAAATTATTGGAGAGTTTTATGTAACACAGTTTGTCCCTTCACAGAAGTGTGCAAAATGGGGTCGCAGAGATTTGTTTGGGTTTTTCTCTTGCTTGCTCACTGCAGATTTCTAAGAAAAGCTCTTGACTCTTGACGAGTTCGTTAGTCATTCACAGTGTACTCGGAATTTCAGTAGCTAATCTTTGGCCTGCACATCCATTTGTTCTGAGTATTTGGTGTTGGAAATCGAACCTGACTGGTTTTTATCGGACTCTTCTGAAATTCTTGGAATCAAGTTTCCAGTTAAAAACACGCATTTGCAAATCTAGACTTGACATCCTGTGAGCATTCCTCATTTTCATTAAAAATAATTTTAAAAAAAGGTCATTTCTTTGCACATCCCTGCCAGTAAACCCTTTCGCTTCTCTTACATCAAAAATGGCAAGGTTCTGCCTCAGTTTAGAGGATTACAAGCCCATTAATTGAAATAGAAGTGTGACTGCTTGTTCTGTTGCTCGTGTGATCCATATCCTTGGAGCAAAGGGCATTATCTATATATCTGCAGTTATGGCTGATGAATTTTACAGCCACCTCTCTTTGCAATCGGTTAGGAGTGCACATCAAAATATATAGCATTTTTCAGTAAAGCCAGCTCTTCACTCAGTAATTTATGAGATTAAAACAATTTTAATCTCCTTAAAAAGTGCTTTCATCCATGCTGTGATGTGAAGGTGTCTAGGCATCAACCTGTATCAGTCTGTATTAGGGAGAAAGAATCTAAATTGGCTAATTGGCCTGGTTTTTAATGGGGGGAGTTTCTGCAATGTGAGGACCCAGCTCACAAAATAGACATGTGGACCTAAAGTATGTTTACTACAAGGTGAAGAAATTCTCAATTGTAAGAGTTTCCAAATTTCTTTCTGTTTACAAGGGCATTCCTAAATTTGTGTTGTCAGGCAGGAGGTCAGTGATTAAATCAAACCCTTCAAAACTGGCCTTTAATGGGACATTGTTGCTGTTGTCCAGGACCTGAGCTAGCTTGCTCAGATTTGAAAGAAGCCAGACAATAGACACTCCTTCTTCCAGAAAGAAACTTTGGAGATAATTGAGGCACAGGTGCTTATTTCAGCCAAGGACAGGAGCTACAATAATACAGTTCCTTTGCTGGATAAATTCCTTTCTTTAACTCTTGCTGTGATTTTAATTGAATGAGGAGGGAGAAAGGAAGCTGCACTGATACCAGAATCACCTAAAGTCAGAGTGGGATTTTAGGAAAAGAGTGATGGAATTGGCTTTGCCACTAGAAATTTGCCACTAGAAGTCTTAGCTTGGCTTACAAGCTTTTAAAAACGAAAATGGATGGTAGGAATGGCCTATGGTCTGGGGCAGCTGGAGAGCTTGAGAAAGTATATTTATATATATATAAATATATATATATGGTATTGTATAGTTAGATATATGCTTTATTGTATATGTGCCTTTTCCAAATGCATTTTGGGAGATCATGATGTTGTTCATGATATCCTCCCATACCCTTTCAGAATGCACGGCAAAAACCAACCCAAAGGAAACATCCCTTCTCCTGCTCTGCACCCTCCTCGGCAGCTTAACCCGGAGAGAGGAGTTGGTACTTTGCTGTGAGATTCCCTGGAGTCAGCTGGCTTTTAGGAGAGGGAAGGGCTGAAAACTACTCTAGCAAACTGCATTCCAGCTATCCAGCCAGAGCTGGTCTGGGAGCTGGTCCCAGCCAGCACAGCATCCCCAGTGTGATGCCAAGACCTGCCGTGGGAGCCCCTGGCTGCACTGTGCGCTATGGAGCACCAGGGCAACGTCTCTTGCTTTCTTCCCCTCAGAGCTTTAAATGAAGCACACTTGGAAATGGACTTTTCTCTCCTTTAAAGTTCCCACTTAGGAACAGGAGCAGACTTATAAGCACCTGCTACTTGCTTCAGCCCGGAAAAAGAAATGCGGTGAGTCTGGTGGAAGTGGTTTGCAAGTTTGCCTGTCAGGCTGCTGCCACCCCAATAATTGATGTAGAGATGAGAGAAGCCCATCAGTAGAAGTTGTTAAGGGGGTTCGTCAGCTGGATTCATTCATTGCTGTGGTGACGAGTGCGGTGTGTCAGTACTTTCCTGGCAGGTTGGTGACCTAGTTTCAGGTCTAATTATTCGCCCTGCATAGATGCAGAGTCTGAGTGTGCTGGCACAGCCGAGGTGTGGAGCCTGCCGTGGGGAAGGTGGCTGGGCCAGCATGCTTTTGGTGAGAGCCTGAGCCCGGTGCCAGCTCCTTGGCACTGCTCTGGGGGGTCTGGGCCCGCAGCAGTCACAGTGAAGGGGAGGGGAGGAATTAGGTAGAAAAGAGGCAGGACTTGCTTCATAGTAAATAGATTCCCTTGTATCCCATTGATGTGTTCTGAGGTATAAGCAAAGGAGAACATCATTGGTTTCTAATTTGACCTCCTACAACCACGCCTAAAGGGGCAGTTTGTGTTCTTCTCTACCAAGGGTCTGAATTGACCAGGGGATAGTCAGAAGGAGGGGTGTGCTAAGGCTTTGCCATGCTGCTTGCTTAATAGGCCAGGAAAACAATAAAAATGGTCTCTGTTTAGTTCACCTAGCTTCCCAGTTGATCATGCAGGCAAACATTTCCAGTTCCTGTTCACTTCCAGCCTTTGGAAAGGTGGTTATCGTTATGCTCACTTGGATCCTCAGCTGTCTCTCTCCTTCCGTAAAAACTTTTCCTTTTCATACAAATCTTGGGACCTAATTAATTAGTGGACAGAAATGACCATTTTAACAAAGACCTACACAGCTGTAGTAAAAACCAATATTATTTACAGTTGCAAAAAAAAATAAAAATACTGTGATGTATTTACTGGCACTATGTGAAGTATTTCAAGAGTGAATGACAATGAAGTTCATCAGATCGTGTCTTCAGAGGGGCTTGTATCATGTGGACACTGTGGGAGAAAGGGAGCAGCCTGACCCAAAGCTGGGCCTGATGCTTCCTTCCTCCGGCATTGTTGATTTAGGCAACTGCACTGCAGCCCAGGAAAACATTTGAGCACGATCAGCCTCCTGCCATCCCCTCAGTGAGATCTGGAAGTGCACAGGAGCCTTGCAGTTAACTGTGTTTAACCATTACCGTGGTTTATGAGATCAGGGCAGTGGGTGCAGCACAGCAGCTCTGGGCAGGTCTCTGTTGTCAGCATTGAAGGTGCATTCCCCATTCCCTTACTTTTGTGTAGCAGCCTTAATCCCTGGCACTCGGCGGTACGTGGGTACCGGCAGTCTCTGGTCTGTACTACCAGTTGTGGAGAAAATATGGATGCCTCCTGCAAAGCATGGTGGGGAGCACGAATCTGTTATGGGCACAACGGAGCCAGTTTGCAGTAAATCGGGCCATTTAATTTTACCTCAAGTGACATCGAACACGAAAAGCTTCTTGCAGGGGTAGAGGTCACTGAATCCCTACTATGCACTTACTGGGATTTGACGTTGCTTACTGGAAATGGATGTTCGTTCCTGAACACACTGTAACAAGGGAAGGACTTCTTTGGTTATTTTTGTAGTCGTTTGGATTCTGAAACTGTGATCAATTATTTGACGAATTGTCAAGTGTCCTCAGAGCTTGAACACATTCACTTCCTCCGCCATGTAGCAGTCTCCTCTGGCTTTCCATGCTTTTCTCTTTCCCCCTTTTCCTTCTTGGAGCTTTAAGTCTGGGCCTGCTCTTATCTCCTGTAGCTTTGGGCTGTCTAGGGGCTTGGGGGGGTTGTTTTTTGGGGGGGTTTTTTGTTCATTGGCTGTACAGTCTGTTTACATATTTTTGTACTCAAGTGTAGTTTTTTATTAAAAACAGGAAAAAGAAAAAAAAAACTAGTTGATTTGAGAAAAAAAATAAGGTACATACTCTTTGTAACACTTTAAAGACCTAGGGTACCTTCAAGATGACTCCACAGTGATGTAATTATAATACTGTATATTTGCCTTCCTTTTTAGTTGGTTTTATTTTCTGTTTGTTTTTTTTTTCCTAAAATGTGTATCTTTTTATGAGAAACTGGAAACTTTTAATGCAAATGTTTAGAAAAATTTAAAATTGTAAAGTAAAAAAAAAAAAAGGTCATAATTTTTTTTTCCTGTTGGAAGAAAATGCTTTAAAAAAAAGTTTTACTACTGTTGTATTCCAGGGTGGGGGTTACCAACCCCAAATTTGCTTCTTATGCTTCATTCTTGGATCCTGCTTTCTAAACGTGCTCATTGCAGACATGGATGATTTGCTTATATTAGTTTTAAAAACAAAAATCACCAAGAAAACCACCTTTTTGGGCAAATTTTCTGTTCAAGTGCAATAATTTCCCTGACGTCTTATTAGTGTACAGTGGTTTCTGTGTTCCTTCCTCAGTCCACACAAACCAGTGAAACAAAATGCTCTGTCTTAAATGCATTCAAAGATATGGTTTGAGTGAATTGATATCGTGACTGACTAAACATGAGGAACTGTAAATTTAGGCTAAAGCCCATAACTTACCTCCTGCTTTTATTTGGCTTTGAAACACATCCACATCCAGAATTAAGGACATACTTGTTCTTGCCTCTTCTTTCCTCTTCTTTTCTAATTGCAGCTTTCTTTTTAAGAAAAGCACTTAATATTGATGTTTATTAAAAACAAGAAAAAATAAAAAGATCTTTTGGTCTGATCCAAAACCCAGTCAGTGGAGACTTCTGTTGACTTCAGTGATGGATTTTGGATTAGGCCTAATCTCTTAGCTAGGGCAAAACTGCCATTTACTGTAATGGGAGAGATTTGCCTGTGTAAGAATTACAGGACTCGTTCCTTTATCTACCTGAGAGACCAGAAAAGCTTCTTTAGAGTTGTCCTTGTCTTATATAAGTTTAGATGGGACTCGTTTTACATATCATACATATTTATATATAGTGTATTTTTAATGCCTTCCCCCCCCCAGTAGACCGAAGCCGCCGTTCTGTAAATATGTATTTAGGTACGTAATAAAAAAAATAATAAAATCCCCTTGAGATTTCTTTGAAAGGCAGTTACTGCGCATGCACAGTAGCCACTTTTGTCTTTTAAATTTGTATTTAAGAGATTTCTTTTTAGTAATAACAAAGGTGAAGAGACTGTATCCCCTTCTGATTGATTGCCAAAATTATCTCCCAGACCCTTGTGTTTGAGGTCAAGAAGAAACACGCATTGGGTGGGTGACTGCTGTGGTGCCCACGGGGTCACGGTCCTTGGGCCAAATTCTGGAACCCCCCCGGGGGTGGTTTGGGTCCTCCTGCAAACGGGGACCACACTGGGGCAGTGGGATCAGAGCAAGACAGCACCGTTTAGGGAACATGGGTTCAGGCTGCGGGTCTGATCCATTTGCATCTTCCCTGGCTTATACACTGCCCATTTTAGTGCTGTTTTCCTAAAGAAAGCCAGGTGAGTAATCTGGCAAATAACCCCTTCTCTCCCAGGTTAGGATTTTTTCGTTCTGTGATAGATGTTCTGAGCTCAGATCGAGGAATCTTTTAAATTAAAAAAAAATAACAACTAAAAATATGAAATCAGAGTTCTTTCCAAAAGGCAGTGAAGACGCTGGGAATCGTCCCATTTCTTTATGTGCTCATTGGAACATGCTCTTATAAAAGGAGTTCAGAAACGATCCCTATGACAGTGGTGCATGTGAGCAACCCTAATGTAAACCTGTATCTCTCTGCTAAAAATGTTTTGCCGTTATAGACTGAACTATGGGACTTGTTGTTATTTTTATTTTCTTCTTAGTATACATGCATACATATGGTTGCACATCTGTATGTGTGTACTCTGTACCTGTGTGAGTGTTGTACAGCCATGTGAGAGTGGGAGTCTGTATGTGTGTATAAATAAAGAAGCTGCAGAAACTTTGTAATACTTTGTGAAAAGGATTATATTATAAAGGTTTGTACTGTCTTGAGTGCACAGCTACTGGAATAAATGTAGGGAATCTCAGGAACAAGCATATAATTTGTCCAAGAATTATTTCTTCTCAGAAGTGTAAGTGCAGTTTTTAATTCTGTATATTATTTAATATTTTACCAATAAAAATAAACTTCTGACACGAAAGGGTTTTTCCATTCAAGCTTTCTGGAGACATTGGGATATGCATACACTTTTCTTTCTTGCAGCAGGAAACACATGTGGTGATTGAGCACCTCCCAGGAATCACATTTCTACCTGATAACAAATCGTGTTAATTAACTAGAGAGAGTGAGTTGGGGTTTTCTGAGTATGGGTTATGAGACTGGTGAATTGGGCACAGATCTGCTTTTAATATTCATTGAAGCTAAAGACATTCTTTTCATCAGCTCCAGCATCAGCTAGAGACGTATGACTATGTAAAATGGTGGCATCAGTCACCTGCCACTCACTTTGTCATGGCTTTGAACTCAGTTACTAGCCCAAGGTCCAACTTTTTCTGGAAAACACTTGGACTGCATACACAATTCCTTTGAACCCTTTCCTCAGCATGGGTTTTTGGCTGAGTTCCCTCTGTTGTAGCCGGAGGTGATCTTCCCAGTCAGGATTTATTGGGCATTTCACATCGCCTAAGTTGTTCTTTCTTTCATAATGCAGCTATCAATCTGGTAGCATTCACAGTACAAACTCTTCAGAATAAAAAGATCTTATGAAGCTTCGTAAACTGTTTGTTGTCTGTTTTAAGAATCTCTTGTAAATTCCTGGTTAAAGATTAACCAGCCTCTCCCCATAATAAAAGTGTTCATCATTCACATGAGAATGGAAACTCCTTAAGATATCATCTGAATAAAAGTTAATCTTCCTTTAAGTCATGTTTTATGTATGTTGTCTCCAAAGAATGCTTCTGTTCAAGGAGCAGAATTTCCCTGGATTTCTTTCACTCAGGATTGCTGTATTACTGGTTTTGCTTCAAGCAGATTCAAGATCAGCTAATGGGACAGTCCAAATCTTTAGTGCATGGGTGAGAAATCATGCTGTGCCACTGCAGAACAGAAAGGACTGGCTTGACGGTCTTGTCCCAAGACTTACTGGAGATGGTGACGCTCTTGCAATTGACTTCAGATAAGGTCTGAGAGGCTGAGGGGAGAGCTCATAGGCAGGAACTGAATGACTTGATAATCCTTAAGGCTGTTGAGCCATTTGCAGGGGTGAGACTCTGTGCATGGCCTCATGTTATTAAGGAAGCGAGTCTTGAAAATCTCCTGGCCGTGATTCAGGGCCAGCATGTTGTGCTTGTGTCTCAGTAAGAGTCACACCATGGGGTGCCATTGCCTTTTCCTCTAAATCACCCTGTCAGTAGCTGCAAGCAAAGGGCAGGTTGACTTCACCCATTCAACTCTTATCTAGGCAACAGGGAATCGTGTCTGATCCCTCCTCTGCAGTGCTTTTGGGGGGAAATCCTACTGAATGGAAAATAACCTTTTCCTGCTTTATAGCAACAGACACTTAAAAATTACTCCAGTGACCATTGTCTGCATAACACTGTCATCGCCAAGTCTTACTTTGGTCTATGGGAGGCAACTGGTTTCAAAATATTTCATCATTGTCTTTATTACTGGATCAAGTGATGTGATTACAGTGGGTCTTTCAGCTGCAGCATCACCCTTCACGTTGGTTGACTGGATCAATCTCGTAGCCAGGTGAGTGCCATATTTCTGACCTGCCAGTCCAGCACCTTGGCATTCGAGCTGCAATCCCCCTTGTCACAGACAGGCAGGGACAGCGCAGGTGAATTTTGAGCGGTGCATTCTGACAAGGGCCTTCTGCTGCTTTACCAATACCAGTATCATTTCCCCAGTTAATAAAAGTTAAATGTTGGTCCCTGGCTTTGGCTTCTACAGCTTCTATTTTTATGCAGTACTTTCAAGAACTTAAGTTTCATCTGAGGGTGAGTTTTGGTTTCGAAACATGGTGAATCAAAGTACATTTTTCTTCCCCATCTTTGTGCTCGAATGTCAAATCCTAGCCCTGCCATGAATCATTTCCCACCACGACACTGCAGAATATATAACAGAGCCCGTGCTAATGGGAGACAACGGCAGGGCCTCAAAATCCCATTATGAAACTCGCAATAATCGAGAGACTAAAAATAAATTTTGCTTGGATTGCAGTTTGAACATGCTTGAGTTGTTTTTTCTTTTCTTTTTAGTCAATCCTAATGTAGTTAGCCCTCAATAAACCCAGCTTTACCCTTCTGCCCTTCAGTGCTTATTTTTGTCTCTTCTTGGTGCATCATATAAACATGTCATAATTTCCAGCATGCAATTATAAGTGTTTGTTGTTTGGTTTTTTTTTTCACAGCAGAGTACCTCAGGAGACACAGTGACTTCTGGATTCAAAGAAATATGAGTTGAAAGGATTACTGTGTAAGTACAGAGTTGCTTAAAATTTAAGACAAGGAATGAAAGCTCTTTTCAAAGGAATATCCTTGTGAAATAGCCTTTGTGTTTCCTGTTAATTCCTGGTACAGAGATGGAGACCCAGAGTACGACATTTTCCAGGGATTTCTGTCAGTGGAGAAACTGAGCCCTTTTAATGAGACTATATAAATGCTCAATATTATCTCATTATTTTTCATTAATCCGTGCACACCAGCCCGCCTCCACATGCTGTAATTCCATGTTACCACCCATGTTCACATTAAAATAGGAACAGATTATTCAAGACTCCCACACAAATCGTGAACCTCTATCCCTTCTGATCTGTCACTGGCCATCCCTGGGACAGAGGCACCTCTACCCTAGGCAAGAAGTTATCTTTAAACCCAGCAACCCAGCCCTTCAGAGCTAAATGCCTATTTTTATTCCTGGCAAATGCTCCTGTGGTATCCAACATCCGTGCCTGGATGAAACTACCTTGTCAAAACTGATTTTTAACAGAAAATTGCTTTTCAATGAACCTATTCTCTATGGAAAGTGTCTGCTTTTCATAGATTTGGGAGGATTTGGGGATTTTTTTCCTCAATAAGAAAGCCTGAAACTCTAAACCCTTGGAAGGTTTCTGGGTTATTTTGTTTGGTTTCAAGAGGAAATACTTCCCTGCCCTCAACTCCTGTTTTCATATCAGTTCAAATAATGTCAAGACACCCTTTGCTGCTCTTTCCCATTATTTTTGTTACTTTTCCTGTTTCAGGCTGCCTGTGTGCAGTTGATAGGGTGTGGTGAGGAATGTAAATTATTATTTTCACGTAGGTGTGGTAGCTATTCAGTTGTAAATCCTGTTTTCAATTCTTCTGACTATTTATTTGTGATCTGTAGTATTGATCTGTCTTCAGGGCAGAGAAGGCTGCAATCTATCAGGAGCAGGGACATTTATTCCTTGCTAAAATAAAGCATTCAAAGCACTCCCAGAAATTTCCAGGATGGGAAAAAAGAGATTTTTCTTGAAGCTTTTTTTTCCCTCCCCTCTTTGAAATGAGTTGAGGAATTTGTTTCTGTGGTTGATTTGTTGTTATCAGTTAGTTGCAAAATCTGACCAGCCTCTCTTTCCAAATCCATCTCCCATGATAACCTGCCACTGGCTGTCTCTTGAGAACCGACTACAAAAAAACAAATTTAAAGATTTGCCTCTGAATGCGATTCAGGATGGTGGAGAAACACAACTGAGCTACAACAGAGAGCTCTGCAGTTCCTGTTGGACTCCAGTAAAGTTGTCAGGCTGTTCTCAGTTCCACACGAGCCGTAGCCGACGTGCCTGAAACACAGCTGTATTTTCCCCAGAGCTGTGAAGAGGCCTTTTGGCATCCTCCTGGCAGATGCTCCTGCTCTCCAAACCCTCTTCCAAAAGGTCCTACCTCAAGAAGGGTGAGCTGCTGTACAAGGCATAAGGGGGTACATCACCTACGGGCCCAGATCCTTCACCAGTATAAGTCTGTGAATCCTGAGCAGCCTGGCAGGAGCTGAGTGTCACTAAGATGTGAGGGCTGCTCTGAGCTCTCTGGGCTGTTGTGTGTGCTCCTAGGGATATGCTCTCATCTGTGCCTGTTCTCTCCCAAGGACCTGTTCTGGTGATAGCCATTATAACCATAACCATCGTTATGGCATCTGCTTTTGTTAGTGCAGCTTGATTTCTAGTTGTCAGTTCTGTCTGTACCTCCTTTATGGATAAATCTGGACATCTGGAAGCACAGTCACTGCATATTTATTTTTTTTTTAATTTTTATTTTCTGTGGTTAGCTTCAGGCCTGTAGCATCCTTGTGCCTGAAGTTTCGGCTAGTTACAGTCATTGGCCTCCATGAAAACTAAAGTTTAGGCGTCACATGCCACGTGCTCAGAACTGATGGCCACACTTGCCCGTTCTGGCCAGTGTACTGTGAAGAGCATGGAATACAGTTGTCCTTGGATACCTCTGTATATTGTTATCTATCAAAGAGGTGTTTCAAAGGCTGACCTGAAAACAACCCACCTCGTAGTGGCTTGAAAAGCTTCTCCTTTTCCTTGAGTGGCGTAAATGTGTAGTGTTTGGGCACCGGCTCCGTTTCCCGAGCAGTGAATGCATAGTTGGGATGCCTGCAGTACATACCGAGTGCTGTGCTGCTGCTGTGTGGCCGTGAGGAGGCATTTAAAGTGCTTTTTCCTGGGAGTTCTTTTTAAAAATTAATGTTCTCTTTATTTGCCTTCAACTTTCCTCCCCTTTCTTCCAGTAAGAAAACAAGAAGTTGTCACTAGACATTAGAACACAGCAAGATTTAAATCAATACAGGTTGATATTGATTATTTGCATTATGTTAGTTCCTAGAAGACCTTCAGAGCTAGGTGGTGTTCTAGCACTGAACAAAAACAAGTCCTAGCTAACACTAATGAGTTTAGCATCTAATTATAAAAAGAAACACAGTTTCTTCTCATTTTCAAAAGTCCAAAGATCTTTCTGTAATGCTTCTCTCCTTTATTTGTCCAAGCCTGGATACCAGACTTGGAGACAGAATTACAGTAACTGTTCCTCTAACATTGTGCTGCTTCTAGAGACTATTCCCTCTGTCCTTACATGTGGGTATATACAGAGGTAGGTCTCCTTGTGTCCCCTTGAGTGGCTGTTTGGTGTTTGTGGGGCAGCGAGCTGTGCTGTGCAGTGAGTTACCCTGCCCATCACCCTGGGCCAGCTCTGAGCCTTGGCTGAATCACGGCTGCCTGAATGCAACCCCCCTCCTATAAATGGGACCAGCATCGCTGGGCCTTGGATGCCTGATCTGGAGCTGAGATGTGCTGAAACACGTGTTGGTCAAACCAGTCCAGCTGCCCAACAGATCCGGGTGGCTTGGGATAACCGACATCCTGATCTGTATCATGCTCCCACACATCTGCCTCATCTGCAAACTTTACCGTTCACTTCTCTGGGGTTTTTTTGTTAGATCTTTCGATAAGATATTAAATTATCTGGGTCTGAACCAGATCTACGTTGCTCAAAACACCGCAGCTGGATGTTGTCCAACTCGTAGTTTCTACTGAAAATCGGGACATAGGTGGGCTGTGATCCGTTTAATTTGTGAGCATGGATGGTTTGTTTTCTCCAGAGAGAGGCAAGGTGGTAACGGTATCAATAGGATAACAGTTTTACATTGGTCATATCTGCTGGAAAGGAATTTTTTAAGCTGGAGACGGTGTGATGCACCCTGTACAACACACTTCAGCTGCTCTTAGGAGTCAATTCTGTGTAACAGAGGACTT